CAGTATGTTGTTAACATACTGCAAATTTTAACCACGATAATAGACCGGTTAAGAGTTATACATGCCACGATAATGGCAAAGTAAATAGCATGTCCAAGCAGGAAACGAATTTCAATATAAAGAAAAAAAGGATAATCGAGGAGATCCTAACACTGATATGTCTTACATTGGAAGGAAAGCTAGAACCGCAGCTGATTTCAACAGCATCAAGGAGCCACAGTCTTTTGATCTGCTACGATCTCTCTAACAAAGAAAACAATGTTTGATTATATCATGATCTTTGATTGTATTTAGCTTGAGGATACTCGCTGACCTAACTGTTCACAATTTAATATTGTTAGATATAAATTGCCTTAACTCAGAAAATAGAATTGAGCCAAGTCTTGCTAGCTTGGTTTTTGCCTGGATCTTCTTTATATAACCTTGGAAGTCAATATTTCCGTTTCCGGGTTCAAGACTTGAAACCTGCAGGCGAGAAAAATCTCAATCAAATGGTGAGATGTCTACAAAGATGGTATGAACCTTACAAGCCAATGACGCAGGTATTACGTATACCTATAGAAATCTGTATATAACCATTAACCAATCCCGACCGACTTCTGCAAACATCTAACTTTCCTCTGACCACTTTTTCACCGGATCCATCTGATCTGCTTTAGGAGATTGTGATGCTACTGGTTAGACCACAACAAGCAACTCAACTCTGTGTATTTATCAATCTTTGTGATGTATTCTAAAGGTTCAAGGGAAGTTAAACTTCGAGACACTAACTCAGACCCTTCCAAAAATAGACCCTCAAGGAGCTTTTCTAATCACTACTACATACTTGGTCTGAAGATAGCAAGATTACGAAGCAAGGGATATCTTCAAACAATTTAACCATTCCTGAACCTGAGAATATTCTCATTAGATGGCCTGGATGACAGAGACTCTGCTCTAGTGTTATGAATCTGGATAGTTCCGCCAGAAAAGCTAGAAGTTCATCAAATTCGCTTGTGTGGGCTGATGAAAAATTTGAAGCACTCTTCCCTAAAAGGTTATTTTCTTGGGAAGAGAGCCTGAGTGCAATACTTCAGTACTCTGAGTCTCTTGTTTCATTAATCGCCTTATTGTTGCTCCCCAGTCCAAGTTTGGCAATTTCGGAGCATGAGACGAACACTGCAAAGCGCCTGCCGTTGTGCGAGAATAAGATTGAGATCACTATCCTGAACTAAATCACCTTTTCTCAACTGCTGGAGCAATATAACGGAACCTAAGAATGAGCAATTATAAGTTTTGTTTTTCTTGTTGTTCCAACCATCATTGATTAGGGAAAACTCCCCACCATCAGAAAGCTTTAAAGCAGAGATACCAAAAGACAGACTTGGGTTTGTCAGGCCTTGAGCAAGTTTTATGAGCAGGAACTTTCTCAGAGATGGCATTACGGCTCTATATATTGCACCAACTTGACATCCCCAAACCTATGATAAGTCCAGAAATACCCCATGTATCATCATCAGAATTCTCATCCAACAGCTTGAGGTAAACCTGTAATGTTGTCTTCTTTTCCAGGTGGGAACAATGCATACAAGCTTTCTAGGATAAATGTAATATTGAAGATACCAACCTCACTATCCTTCCTAAGAGTTGTTCTAAATGGTTTCTGTAGGACTCACTGTCTATATCAGAGCAGATCTTGGCATGATAAAACCCAAGCCAACCCCACAGGCTCCTTTTACAAGAGTGCTTTTGCTGCTACACAAAACCTGAAAGCAATTTTCAAGCCAATAAGATACATGATAATTATTTTTTTAGGGGCATGCTTACTTTAAAGTGAATAGAAATTATGTAAGGAATGAGAAAGACCAAGACTGATTTTGCATGCATACTCGTCAAATTTACTACTCACTAGGCATTTTCATAAAAGAGTAGCCCTATAATAGTTTTCGCAGGTTACATTGACCAATATTCAATCCAAGAGAGATACTAGCCGTCTAGTGACAGTGTTAGCAGCAGCCTGAAAGAATAAACAGATTAAAACTTTCTATTGTGAGACACTTGACCACTACAGATATTCTTACTGAACATAGTGCACCCAATGCCAGTGCAATGTTTTCTGCAGACCTCGGGAAGAGTTTCTTCAGCCACGTATACCAAACTCTACATGAAACAGCACAAAAGCATCTCATAAACATTTGAACACTTAAAAAGTGTAAAGGTTGAACTAAGCTACACTATCTCAAACCTTCATGATGTTGTTTGCAGCTTTAGAAGTTTTATCATGTGATAATTATGCTTCCGGCCGTTGCTGAATGGACAATATAGTAGCTCTCATCCAACGCCGCATAAAAGCTTTCAGTGATTGCAATGAAATAAGTGTCGGGGAAATATTTCTTGAGAGCTGGAGAGATTTGACTACTTCCTCGTGTTGACCGTGTATATCACGGAAGCTCTGTGATTAAAAGTATGCAACTCAGTACGCTTGCATTTACATAACCACTACAAGAAAACAGGGCGAAATGCGACGGATTTTCCGACGACTTAAGTTCCGTCGGAAAATTACGACGGACATTCAACGCTTTTAGGACGAAACGATGGTCCGTTGGTAATCCGTCGGAAATTTCCGATGAGACAGAATTCGTCGGTACTCCGTCGGAAATTTCCGACGACTGTAATCCGTGCCACATTTCTGATAGATTACCGACAGAAAAACGAGCTGATTGAATTATTGATGTTGTGCTGTTTGAATAATTCCAACAGTCCCACAGACTCGCTCGCTAATTGTGCTGAAAAATCAGGGGGAACAGGGAAGATGGCATGAGGTATCACATCTAGCAACTTGTCAATCTTATTACCAGGAACTTTCTTCTCTCTACCGGGATGCTGAAACGTGAGAAAAAAGCAGTTTTCATATGTTGCTAAATCTAAACTAAAAAATAATTAAAAAA